TTGGTTGAACCAACGACTCCTGCAGTCATTCTCGATTATTTATCTACATAAACATTTTATAATAACTAATACGCGGGGTTCGCAGGTTATTTGAGATTAGGAAAGATTTGAATTTCGTACTAACAGTCCTCTACTGATACTAAGCAATCATGTAATCTATCGCGTAAGGCCCTGAAAGCTTCAAAAGCCATAAACGCGATTATTAGGTGATAGGTATGGCAACTCGGCAACATTGGCGGCGTTGACGCAAGCGCAGACAAATTCAAAATCCGCGTTTCTTCGTATGCTTTCGTGTTCTCTCGTGTTCTACAAAGTGGAGATATGTAAGTAAAACTTTCAGTTATAATTAATTTCAACAATATTAAACGGTAATACACCAACTCAGCTCCAGTAAAGCCAGGCAATTTGAGGTTATCACCGCTAGACAGAGGCCAAGTCGTCGAAAGACGAGCAGAAGGTTTAAGATAGGGTTTGTTGTTACCTTCCAAGTTATTCTTAAAAGAGGCTCAGGTTTGTCATTGCATTACTGGCATTATATGTACCCACTAAAATGATCATTTTTAGAGAGAAATGTTCCCCAAATGATATTATATACTTGTTAAAACTTGTATTGAGAGTAAGAAAATCTTCTCATATAAAGGGTGATTCAGAAAGCAATTGCATTACTTCAAGGGCAACAGTTTTCTATTATCCTTATTCATAAGTAAAATTCTGTAAATGCAGATATGTTAATAAATAGCCACGGATTTCAAACGCCGCTTTACGAGTAGTGAAACTGCAAGCCTCTGTAGCTCAGTGGCGGAGCACTGGACTTGTCAACCAGGGGGCCGATTGTGGTATACTTTTTTATTTTTTTAACACGATTTTAACACGCTTCTATTAGCGTGGCCTGCTTGTATGTAACCGAATCTTTGAACATAATTTTCACCAATTTCCAGAAGTTTGAATAAATAGAAACTTCGCACACGTATCAAGGACTGATAACAATGCAATAATTTGATAACAGTTTTCCATTATCCTTATTAGGACCGCCAGGATTGATAAATTTTTTTATAGATACTCTGTAGGGGAGTAAGAGAGATAGAGCTATCGCGCGATCTGCGAAAAGAGCTGGAATCTAACATAAAGCTAAAAAAATGAGTTCTATTTAGTCTATGTAGTTTTATGTCCCATACGTCATACATAAACGTACACGTAGGCAGTCTGTCACACGATGTGGATTGCCTGCAATTCTGTACCCACTTCCTTTATTTTGCTTTCCCTATATTTGTTTTTGTATACAGCAGGTACCGACTGGTATATCACCGTCATTAATGTATCATCGGACAGCAGTAAGGGAACCACAGCTTATATGTATATAATTGAATATTGAATTAAAATGTCAGGAAATGAGACTTCAAGTTCAGGGGTGAAATAGAAAAATATTCAGACTTGTATAAACAAGAATGGTAAAAGGAGTTTCAATGATGGTTGCAAAGGAGTTTAAGGAGCCACTAGATGTCCTCAGAAAAACCGGTTGCCTTTGTGTGCGCAAAACTAAAACATACTTTTCTATAGAGGGCGCTGCGTGACACTAGCAGCAAGTCTCCATCGCTGACCTTGTCAGGGCCCTGATTTCCTTCTAGCGATTTTGCCCTTGAATTTCAATGACACTGTCTACAAATTTCGTCCTTCAATACAACAAGTAAACATCATTCTAAACGTAAAATGTAAAATAAGCACACTCTTATGGCCTACTATGTGGTAGATACAAAACGGACTTTTACCAGAAATGCATTTATCTTCTATATGCCTAATAATGAGTTATTACTCAAGATAGAATTACGGATGTATGTGTTACAGAAGTCTACATCCCCGTTTCCACTGTTTACACGGTGATAAAAGGTAAAGACCGTTGGATAGACCACTGAAAATGGGTGACAAAGATTACTGTAACACTTATACATAATGAGACGTCCAAAAACCCATTATCAAATTATCACAATGACCTGGCTGGCTGTAGAATACAAAGAACATTCAAGATTAGTGTCTTTATGTATTTTTTATATTACAGGGATTCGTTTAATCAGGGTGATAGACTCCGCTTACTGAAACTGGTAAAGATCGAGTACCGTAAGCTGAAGGTCAGAAGAGAAATCACTGAAGACCCTTGGGAGCCCATACTCATCAATGTTCTATGGACCTCGTTTCCTGGCAATAGTACGGCCAAATTAATCGCGCAGTGGAAGCGGTTGACAGTAAGTTGACACATTTCACTAGAATCATTCGTGTGATTTGGCTACTTTGTGAGTTTATTTTTGTTACAAAAGTACTATGCAGACTAGATTAAACGTTTGAAAAACTAAAATCATATTTTTTCGAGAGCCCATATACCGTTATATACAAAATTAAGGCTCTTAATAACGTTTATTTAAGGCTTAATATAGACTAATATCCTTTTCAAATGATTATTTTTTTTAATGAATTTTCTGTAGACAAAATTCACATTTCTAAGACTTTTTTAAATATGAACAAGAGATTGTTAAAAATATTCAATTTTCTGTAAATAAGGGTTTGTTCAACTTTTGAGAAAATTTATTAATTTTACGAATAACAAAAAACGAAAACTCTTAAAAAAAGCCCTTGGCGCTAGCCCCGTCCCAACTGTGTATTTTAATTTAAAAGTTATATTGTTCAGCGACTTTATTTACATAAAGCGCGTTATGGTTTTTACAAAAAGATTTCTAGAAAAATGTTGTCTTTAATAATTTTAGACGTTTATAATCCCATTTTTTGTTTATTTCTCAAAAATCGAAAGACAGTTGTACTGTAGAGCCTTGACACAAAAGTGAGTATGTTATGCATTACCGTTTTTAATCACCTTTGTGTTTTGTTATGTATCTGCGAAAGGTTGGGAAATCTCGAAACTGGAGATACTGCAGACCAAAATATACTAAGTGACATATAAATCCGAACACCCAGTTTAAATGGTTTATTTTAATAAAATTTTGTATCAGTACTTAATGAACCATAATAAGTAAATGATAAAAATTTCAAAACGATTGCACTGCTTTAAAGCCCTTTGACCTTTAATAATGTGTGGATGCACCCTGATGTGCTACGCATTCTCCAACGCGCCTAGGCATGCTTCTGATCAGGTGGTCAATGTCCTCCTGTGATATCTCATTCCAGGCAACCACCAACTCCTCTCGAAGTGCTTTTAGAGTCTGAGGAGGACGTTGCAAATTGAGTAATCTCCTACCCATCATATCCCACACGTGCTCAATTGGGGATAAGTCGGGAGATCTTGGTGGCCATGGTAACAATGTGACATCATTATGTTGAAAGAAGTCTATTGTGACTCTTGCAACATGTGGTCGGGCATTATCTTGTTGGAAAGTTGGATCTGCCAGGGTGTCAAGATAGGGTAAAATATGGGGTTCTAGAACTTCGCGGATATAACGCTGCGCGTTCATGTTACCTCTGATGAAGATTAAAGGTGACCTGGAACCATAAGCTATAGCACCCCAAACCATAACTCCAACAGTGTGATGAACATGTCTTTCAACAAAAACTGCGGATTCCTCCTTTCACCACGTCGCCTTCTAACCCTGGCACGACCATCGTGCATGCCTAAACAAAATCGAGGCTCGTCACTAAAGACAATACTGTTCCATTCCTGATCCCAGAGTGACCGTTGTCTGCACCACTCAAGGCGATTACGTCGATGTAAGGGTTAGAAGGCGACGTGGTGAAAGGAGGAATCCACAGTTTTTTGTTGAAAGACATGTTCATCACACTGTTGGAGTTATGGTTTGGGTGCTATAGCTCATGGTTCCAGGTCACCTTTAATCTTCATCAGAGGTAACATGAACGCGCAGCGTTATATCCACGCAGTTCTAGAACCCCATCTTTTACCCTATCTTGACACCCTGGCAGATCCAACTTTCCAACAAGATAATGCCCGGCCACATGTTGCAAGAGTCACAATAGACTTCTTTCAACATAATTATGTCACATTGTTACCATGGCCACCAAGATCTCCCGACTTATCCCCAATTGAGCACGTGTGGGATATGATGGGTAGGAGATTGCTCAATTTGCAACGTCCTCCTCAGACTCTAGAAGCACTTCGAGAGGAGTTGGTGGTTGCCTGGAATGAGATACCACAGGAGGACATTGACCACCTGGTCAGAAGCATGCCTAGGTGCGTTGGAGAATGCGTAGCACATCAGGGTGCATCCACACATTATTAAAGGTCAAAGGGCTTTAAAGCAGTGCCATCATTTTGAAATTTTTATCATTTACTTATTATGCTTCATTAAGTACTTATACAAAATTTTATTAAAATCAAACCATTTAAACTGGGTGTTCGGATTTATATGTCACTTAGTATATGTGAATTGACCTAAACATACCTAATCCAAAAGTTGATAGTTTGCGAGATACAGGATGTCAAAGTTACAATTTTATTTTCTATTTTTCCTTATTGCTAGAGAAGTATTTCACATTTTGGATGGTATAGGGTGGTTTTCTAGTATGTGAAACAAGAATCCGTTATTTTTTATTGGCTTAGTAGCAACTCTACTCAGATATTAGGCAACTTGATTATTATGTTATGAAAAGGTTTATCATCATGGTACAAATAATGCATTGGCATTTATAAAAACAAATATCTCCATAACTATTAGCTTTAGACACTTCTAATGGCGGATTTCCACCAAACAGACAAAACAGCAACAAAACAGAAACTCGTGTTTATCTCAACAAAACTGCAACTTTTCACCAACATTTTGTAGACAGGAGTCGCCGGCAACTGTTTTTGTTGAGTTTTTGTTGTGTTTTCGAAGTCCCGGTCGAAGGCGGTAACTTCAAAGGGTTTTCGCGCAACTAGCAACACAGTTGGTTTAGTGGAAACAGCTTGCGACGCGTCTCTGTTTTGTTGTAGTCTGTTGTAGTGTGTTGCAGTGTGCGCAGTTTGAATTTATTTGTGCTATTGAATACCTAGCAGTTAATTGCAGGATATGACTGAAGAAAAGAAAAAGTGGACCACAGAAGAAGTGGGAATTTAATAGAAACTTATCGCGATTGTCCAAATTTATGGAACCCCACAAACCTGGAGTATAAAAATCGAGTGAAAAAAATGGACACTTACAAACAAATAGCTCATGTATTTAAAACAACTCCACATGAAATAGAGAGGAAAATAAAAAACTTAATTACCCAGTACCAACGGGAAAGGCGCAGCAGTTACAAAAAAATGAAAAAATCAGGAGCCGGTCATGTTTTCAAGGCAAAATGGTTTGGTTATAGTGCCATGAGCTTCCTTCACGACAAAAACAAACCTAGGAAAGGAACACAGATTGGCGTAGAATTGGAGGTGAGTAGGTATTTTGTTTTTTTTGTGTTTATTTAAAACTCTAGCATTTTAAGAAAATTTACAACAAATAATTAAGCATACTGTGATTGCCATGGTACTTGTCCTAAGTCCGATATGAAATATTCGCTGAATTCGTCTCTAATTTCTCGGGCTTCTTGAATTGGTTTCCTTGCTATTCGTCTTATAGGCAAAAGTGAGTGACATGGTTCCGGATCATTTCTCCACAATCCTCCACTTACAGTACCAGAATCTAAGTGTTCGAAATCAAAGGAGCCTGGCGGTGTATATCTATCTTTCGATTCCACATCTCTACGTAAATAATTGTGCAGCAAAACACATGTTTGAACAACTTTCTCCACTTTGTCCGGCTCTAGTAACATAGGCTTGCGAAGGACCCGAAAAACAGATGCTAGTATTCCGAATACGTTCTCGACGACTCTTCGAGCTCTACTTAGACGGTAATTAAAAATTCGTTGTCTTGACCCACGTTCTTGGTGCCCAGCATACGGCTTCATTATATTTTGTGACAAGGGGAATGCATCGTCTGCTAGTAAGACGTATGGTACCAGTTTTTCTCTTCCAGAAAGTGCCGCCTTTTGTGGCAGATTGAGCATATCTCTTTCCAATGCTTTGGCAAATCCAGTATTTTTGAAAACTCCTCCGTCTGATATTCGGCCCTGGCACCCAACGTAAACAAAATAAAATTGTAACTGGCATCGACTATGGCAAACAATACAATACTAAAAGTCCCTTTATAATTGAAGAATCACTTCCACTGTATTTTGGGGATTCTATGATTACATGTTTTCCATCCATACTGCCTATACACATCGGGAAGTTCCACATTGTATTATATCCATTTGCAACTTTTTTCCAATCCTCTGGATTTGCGGGGGAACCTTAAAACAAAAAAATTCAGGACCATGATCCAATGTAAGAAGGAAGAATCCCGAAAGGACACGATATCTGATTTCTGATATTGGATTTCAAACAACTGATATTATTCCTAAAATAATCTTCATTTTTAAACTATACAACCCACATTTTATGAAATTCAGGCCAATTCAATGCGCACTCTATAATTACAGGGAAGTGATTCGTCAGATGAAGGTGATGAAGAAACACAGTCTGATAGCAAAGCACAACCGAAGCAACGAATGAGTATGAAAGTGAAAGCGAAGTTCAGAATGTCAGTTAACTGAGGAAATAGGCACACCTGCAGCAAATACAAGGGAAGAGCCTAAAATCGCTGCTGCAGCGTCAGTTAACAAAAATGTTTCAGTTGAGAATACAGAAAGTGCAGAATATTTCAGAAACAAGCTTCCCAGAAACCACATGTTTTAGTACTCCAAAAATTGGCTCAAGAAAGAAAAACGTGTTGAGTCTGATGACAAAAATGAGACTACGGAGGTCTTTCAGATGATGAAGTCAGTATTTGAGAACAGGCAAGTAACTACATCAAGGCGCGACGAATACGACCCTGTTGGGGAAATGGTGGCCTGCAATATCAGACATCTGCAAACTGAACATGCTAGAGTTACTGTGCAACACAAAATAAATAACCTACTATATGAGGCTCGAATCGGTTATTACAATTATCCAGAAACCCATGCGAGTCGTCGTGCCATCACCTTCACCTAACAGCAGTCACACTGTATCATCTGACACCCAGTCGGCAATGACGGAGACGGAAGTACAACAAACTTGGAGTGATGACGTTTTACAAGTTGCCATTGCATCATCCTTTGGGCTGAATACAAATCATGACGATAATACAAATCAGGACATGTTTCCAAAGAATTAACCTTAAGTTACTGTACGTACTATTTGTCAAAATATATTTTCGTTGGCAGTATCCTATATACAGTGTGGCCTTACCTTTATATTATCCTTTAGACCTTCGCATAGGGCACTGCAAACTTCGGGCACAATTCGTGAAATTGATGATGCAGATGCTTTACATAAATACATCAAACTTTGATAGCTGTCCCCCGTAGCAAGGAATCTTAGTGTTATAGCTAAACGGTCTTTTACGGATATAGCGTCTCTGTAATTTGTGTTTTGTTTGCGAATCTTTGCGCCGATCAGAGTTATCAGGTTTTCAAAATCAGTGCTGGACATTCTCACAAAATTATGAAACGATGATCGCAACTCGCCATGCAATCCAAAATCATCCGTTTTCAACTGAGTAAGCATTTCTGCCGCGCCATTATTTTCTCTTGTAGTCAACAGCGATCTCACCCAGTACCTGTGCTGTCGACGCTTTTTCCTTTTCTTTGCTTTAGAATGCAATATAAACCATCCACATAACATGATGAAAAGATCATCTTCATGCCACATGATCAACACAAAACACTGTCTGCCTAGTGGAAAGGAGTGACAACTTACACACAACTAGGACTGTAGTCGAGTCTGTTCAGTTGCAACAGCGTTTCTGATTTGGTTCTGTTTTGTTGCTGTTTTGTGTTGTCTGTCGGAGTTTTCATATTCGGAAACAAAACAGCAACTCGACGAGTCGGTTTGGTGGAAATCCGCCATTATAAGTAAACCTTCTTTATTGTGGAAATATAAGAAAATAAGCTTTTTTGGACAGTTGTTGTATATAGGATAGCAAAAAAGTTATTATAAGTCATATACCGAAATAGTGCTGTAATAAACGGGTTCTTGTTTCTCATACTAGAAAACCCCCCCTATACCGAGTTTTATGCCAAAATCTGAAATACTGCTCGAGCAATAAGGAAAAATAGAAAATAAAATTGTAACATTGATGATGATGATTGTATCTCGCAAACTATCAACTTTTGGACTAAGGTATGTTTATGGTCAATTCACACATTTCGGGTCTGTAGTACCTCCAGTTTCAAGATTTCCCATCCTTTAGCAGAACCCGTATAGCCTCTTTTAATTTGAGGCCTTTGTTTTTGTCTTTCAAAAGGCTTTTTAAAACTATTGCATACATTTCTACTTTCTTGGCAAGGGTCAGTCCAACTCTAAAGTGGTCCTGTCTATGGATGTCATCTACCTAAAGCTAAAGCCACATTGTGTCACCCCCTATGATGAGAAAATACATCTGCTTTATTTACATTATGTTAAGTGGTTCGAGTGATGCTGAAAATGTGATAAATGAAGTGAGTCTGAGGTTGTACGTTGTATGAGCCTGTCCTTAAGATGCTAAGTCTAGCTAGATAAAGGCAGACGATTCAGGCCAATGTGTTATCAGCTAATACGAAATATCATGCTTTGCCCTAGCTCTAGTGGAACGTTGATGCAGGTTACAACTTGTAAAATAAATAAAAATCAATATCATTGTGTTGAAATCGGTAGGTTTTTCAGTACATGGAAATGATATGAAATAGGATCGTCAGAATAAACGCATGTTTTTCGAATGGGTACTAAATCGAGTGGGCTGGTCCCGTGTCGGTGGGGAAGGGCGTGTTGGATAGTGGGAGAAGTGCCGTTCCTTTGGCAAAGCTGGTTGGAACGTTGAGCATCGTGTGTTTCACTGTACGTCGGTACTTTAAAATGGCGAGTATGTCGTTCGAACGCAACGTGAGTTTCGCGTTCACTATCGTGTTCCACGTCGTGGGACAGTTCCAGACCGTAACATCATTTTGAGATGGGTGGAAGCACTCAACACAACAGGTAATGTGATGACAAAAAAACCTCCAGGGCGAAACGGTACTGTTAGAACCCCCGAAAACGTAGACAGAGTGAGAGTTGACACGCTGCAAAGCCCGTATCCTTCCGTCCGTTCCCTAGGGATCCACGCGTCCTCTATACGTCACATCTTGAAGAAGGATTTAGTGTCCATCCTTACAAAATCCAAGTTTGTCAACAACTATTGCCAGGGGATTATGCACCACGTGTTAATTTTGCACAGCTCATGATTGAACATTGAACAGTTGGATAACAATGATATGACGGTATTTATAGTGATGAAGCACATTTTAATTTACATAGATACTTCAATAACAAAATTGTCGATATTGGTCACCAGTGAAGAAAGTTACAGTTTGGCGTGCGGGTTCGAATCCCGTCCCAGGAGAAATGTATCTCTTGGCTATGGGATGTTGTGATTATCCGTAGGTGGTAGACTGTCGAACGCGGAGGTACCACCCGGCGGATGTCGTAGGCGGGGCCAGAATGTGTGCATGTTGCAGAGTCCGTGTAGCGTTCCCCCTTTCCCCTGTATCCCCCTATAGCCCCACGGTACCCCATGGGTGTTTAGGCCTTAGGCCTTCGTGGTAGTTGGAGTATAAAACTCAGAATAGTGTGGTTCCAACAAGACTGGGCAACATCTCACACAGCTCGCATTTCGTTGGAACTTCTTCGGCAAAAATTCCCAGGGCGTCTCATTTCACGTCATGGCAATATTCCATGCCCCCTGCTCCCCGTACCTGACAACGTGTTTTTTTTTTATGGGGCTATCTGAAATGAAAAGTTTACCAAAGCAAGCCTCGGACCCTCGTCGATTTAAAGGAGGAAATAAGAAGAGAAATAATTCCTGCACGGATGCTGGCTTCATGCCTGCATTTCGGCTCAAGGGCGCCATATGGTCGACATAGTTTTTTGAACATAAATTTTGTTTTACTCAAAAAACGGCATGTATTTTGATATAATAAAATATTTTGACTGTACTACTCATTTAAAGAAGATGCGTTCTTTCTGACGGACCCTAGTAGGTTAGCGCTA